GTCAAATATAAGATGAAATAGAGGAAAAGAACTCATTGTTAACATTAAAATGGAAGGATTTTACATTTCCAAAATTCATGTATCATTTCGTTCGCATGCCCGTTTTCTGAAGAAATCAAAGAAAACTAGAAACATTTATGGATAGACTAATGAAAATATATGATGGTAGTGTAATTGCAGGGTTTATCTAAATGCCGAAATCTCGGTAAATTCATGGTTTATGAATGCGACGTCCATGTATTTTTCTTTATTCTCTCTACATGTAACATGAAGGAATTCTTCGTGCAAATCAAAACACTGTTTATGGAGAGCTTGGATTGTAAGTCACTGTTATTGGAAAAGGAAATTGAGGTTATTATTTTTGGAAGAATATAGTACAGTTTCAAAGACGGATCATTGAGAGTCGAGAATATTCTTGGTAGTGTTGAAGTCGAAACCCTCGGATAAGAAGTCTTTTGATTCGCAAGGGTGAAGTTTGTGGATTTCCAATGGTCAAAACAAGCAAATGTGCCAGACATCAAATGACAAAAAGCATTATGACAAAGTATTGTAGCGTAAAGGCTGAAAATGAGCCAAAGGTTAGTATAAGTGGACAGAAGGGATAAAGAAGAGAAGAAAAAAAAGGAAAGGAGGAAAAGAAGGACCAATGCAGAGGTGATCCCCTACACTGAGCCAGGTATTGCATTATGATTTTTTTTTAAATCCCTGTTGCTCCTGCACGATCATGGGTATAGCTATTCTCCAACGCTATCTATCTACTTTGTACTTACTTTGTCATAGAATTTTGTTATTATTACATAACTCTTAGTGGTGTCAATGCCTGTGGTCTCGTCTATAATGAGGGATTTTTTTTTTTTTTACCAAAGTGTTTCTCTCATACTGAACCACTAGATATAACATTACTTAATTTTGTTATTTTTAGATAGCATTTTAATCAGGAAAAACACCTTTTAATAAATAAATATATCAAGTGATCCACAGTGTTGTAAGGGATATTGTGTTCAATAAAACAAAAATCCAGAAAGCTTGATATCTGCAGCCGTGACTGCATCCTCCTGGCGTTCCTCACAAGGTACCGGGGTATTACATATGGTTGACGATCCTCATAAGGCAAAGTGCAAGCTCTGCAAGTCAATGCTCGCTGCAGATAGCAGCTCAGTGAAAAGTCTTGTTCCAGCCAGGCATCGCAGAATTTCCTATTACGGGCCATGTCAAAATCTGGACTAACGAAAAAAGTAATACATTTAGAACATTTTCGCATATCTACTGTCGCTCGACTAAGGATTCTTAGCGACTGTTCTCTGTTGGAGCTATTTCTTTATATTGTTTGAAATATATGTGTTACACAATAATAAAAAATGGGACATAATAATAGCATATAATTTTTGCCATTCACCATAAAAGATAAAATTCCAAACATGCGAATATTTGTTCGCAGACCTGCAAACTGTAGTCCACAAGTTCGCAGTATTTATTTCCCGCCTTCTTCGGACTCGCACAGCAGACGGAAATGGTACATATCGACACGCTTCTTTCAAGTCGTGGTAAAGGAAAATGTCTCTACTGCTTTCTCTCGGTTAGGTGCAGCAGAACCAGAGTTAGAACGAAACACAATCTACCATTCTCTTCTCGTATCCATCAGATTTAGGTAATGATAAATAATAAAACATACACCATACAAAATAATAAATATTAAATATTACAGACAGTCTGCACCAACCCAGGTGTAACTGTCACGGCGCCATCTATATTCGGAAAACTCAGCCAGTGACGAAGACTGCATGTCTAATGAAATTTATTCCTTGGGGTCGATTCACGCTGCGTTGAGAACAGGCGTCACAAACATCTCTCGTGGCGTATTTGCCTTCCGTAAAACCTCTCCCATTACTGTAATTAAACGGGGTATAGAGCCGACATTTCTCTGCATAGCAACTGGTAAGTATCATGCGGCTTTCATTCAAGTCTTGTTTGTAAATGAGTATAAATAGTTTAAGCATAACAATGAAAATAACCTGTGTCCCCAAGTTATAGTCGAGAGACATTCCCAATTTAAGTATTATTGAGATTATGAGGACAATATGTAGTATAAGGTAGTGGCAGAGTTGGGTAATAAAACCTACATGAAATGATAGAACAATACAAACCAAGACAACACATATTGCTATGGCAATATGTGTGCAAATGCTTCTCAAGGGTGCTATACATAAAAGAAAAGGGAAGAAGATGGGTTACTTTCGAAACAATTTTGATATTTTTCTGCATGAAATCCACTGCTTTCAACGATTCTAGGCATTGTTCCTTGTGCAAATGGGCGACCATAGGGGATATAGACAACAGTCGTCTAAAACCCTATAACAAGAAAGAAGAAGAAATGGGCGACCTAACCCAACATCCAACCTAACCTAACACCGTGGTATATATTCCCTAGCCAGGGGTCTCTGCCCCCTGGACCCCCGTGGTAATATATATGCCTAGCACCCTTGGGAAGCATTTGCACGCA